CTTATAAACCAAAGCAGCATTTTCAATAAATCCGTCCTTTGTTCCCGCGTGCACTAATATGAAGCTAGTACCTGTGCTAATTTTTTTTAAAAATGGCGTGGTTTCTTCTTTACGTGCCCAAGTATTGTTTCGCACGTGTGTCGAAAGAACATAACTCTCATCAGTGTAGACAATTGGTCGACCTTGAGTGCGATATTCAGAAATCTTTTTTAGATATTTATAACGCCACATTTGTATGTCATGACGCTCTGTCAAAACTTTTCGGTTGTTATCTGTTTTACGCCACTTAGTAACTTTAGTAATAACTTGCGAACAGTTTCTAAACAACCTGCAAATCCAAATTTTTCATGTAATAATTTTTTAATTTTAGATAATGTTGGAATTTCTTTATGGACGATATGGAAATTTTGTATAGTACTTCGAACAACATCGGCTGTAAAATTGTCTATTTCTATCTTATTTTCTCGCTTTTTTCTTTTCTTCATAGGAGAGGTGAATGTTGATGATGTGGATGGCAATTCCTTCTCTTCTTTTAATATTCGTTGGACAGTTTTTGTAGACACACCTGTAGCTTCTGCTGTACGCCGCGTGATATCTCGTAAATGAGACAAATCACAGTTAGGTTCCATATATGTTTTTGTAAATTCATACTCCTGTCGCAGGAAATGATAAACGCTAGCTATCATGCTCCGATCCTAAAACAAAACCAAATACATTTTCTCAGTAATATATTGTTCGCGACGTATCTAAAAATTCTTATTGCTGTGTCCAAACTTAACGTCTAAAATCAGTGAAACAAGGTGTCCACCACGAACATTGCATAAAACAATACAAAAATAATGAAAAGTCGTAAAAACAACGTAAAACTTTTTCGGCAACTTACATGTTTCTACCCACATGGTATAAAAATTAACCTATTGTATGTAAAAGAATATAATTTTACAATTACTATAGTCATTCTTATCAGCGTGAGTGATATGATAAAAAGTTAAAATAAATCTTACCTCACTATGAACGTTTAGTTTCCATGCTGACGCTACTCCGTGAAACAATTTGGCGCGAACTCAAAACACGAGTGACATCGACCGCGTTGCGATCGTGACTGAGCGCTCCCGCGCTTACGCACACTGAGGCTGGAAACAGTGCTCGACCGACGGTCAGTGCTGACCGTACGTCCAGACCGTCAGCGCTGACCGTACGTCCAGACCGTCAGCGCTGACCGTCGGTTCCAAAAATGCATTTAGTGCTACGCTGACGGCGAACTGTAACGCGTGTGTACAGTTCACATGTAAAATGAATCCTTTTGCTGTAAATGCTCTAATATGTGCACGCTATTTTTTGCGCAAACGACGGAATAGAAGGCGGCGAAGATATCATGTACACCCAATACTTGTAGAACGGTTGTTAGAAGGCGAGTTCTGCAAACTA